TTATAAACCTCTATTAGGTCACCCCTCAGCCTCCAATGCTCCAGTGAAAATAGCCCCAGCCTATTCAGCGTATCCCTCAAACCCTCAAATCCCAGCAACATCCTTGTAAATCTTTTTTGAACCCTTTCAAGTTTAACAACATCTTTCCTATAGCAGGGAGACCAGAATTGAATGCAGTATTCCAAAAGGGGCCTAACTAATGTCCTGTACAGCTGTAATGTGATGTACCAACTCCTAGACTCAAAGCATTTACCAATGATGGCAAGTGTACCAAACGCCTTCTTCATCATTCTGTATACCAGCAACTCCACTTTCATGGAACTAGGCACCTGCACCCCGACGTCGCTTTGTTCAGTAACACTCTCCAGGACCTACCATTAACTGTGTAAGTCTTACCCTGGTTTGCCTTTCCAAATAGGTTGGATGAAAGGAAGTGGGTGTCAGGTCCTGGGAGTGCTGGAGGGGGTCTGGGTAAGCTGTAGTTGAGAGTACATGAGATAAGTATGGGGTCAGGATTTAGACTCCATACTTGATGGTCTACTTCTTCCTGAACAGTATTTTAGTTAATTTCATTGCAGCTGTGCAGAGTGTTTGATTTAAATGGAGACTTTCAGAGTGTTCCACGCATAGGAGAATTGCCTGGAAGAAAATTCAGTTTCCTACAATTCCTTTGGAATATGTTGGAATTTGGATTGGACAGGCCCCCCATGCACAACTCCAAACTATGCTACATAATGACTGTCTGTCCAGCGAAGAATCTGCCCCCTCATTACTGATTTTGTCCCACATGATAATTTGTGCAAATGTCATAAATATCAGTATAATTTAAATTGCTGAGATTTAGATAGTTTTTCTTCTAGCTTTACTGGAATAATTTTACATTCATTTGAAAATTGAGAAATTCTAATATTTCTCTTTAATAAATATTAAGCATTCATATAATTAATATTCGTGCAGCATGACAAATAAAATTCTGTCATCTCATATAGGATTTATAATTGTGTGTTATAAAGACACAAATATGTTGCAGAGTGTTCTGTCTTTTACATTAACTTAGCAAAGTAGAGAACGACTGCAGAGAGCAAGAACAAAGGAACCCACTGATAAGTTTAGAGGCTGCCTAAATCCACCAAATCCCCACTCTTGAGGAAAATATTGGGTTTCCCAATGCTCAAAAACCACAGATAAGTAGACTTCAAGCTCAAAGTGGAATAACAAGCAGGCACACAGCCTCATTACTCAGTTTATCAAGTTCCAGCCTGCCTTCTTGATCAGCGCTGTTTAGCTGCCCACCATCAAGCTTTAGTTGAAGCTGGAAGTGAATAGATTGGTGGTAGGTTTTGGTTTTGTTTCTAAAACATTTTAACCCATCAACTGAAGCCTAACCCAAGTTTTAAAAATAAAGTTTTACTTCTCGTTTTGTTTCCAAATATGAATTTTTAACCACAATTTCCTCCTAAAATCAAAACTGAAGAATAATGGAACTAGCAAAGCACAGTACTAAACCGGGGGTGGATGGGCCTGTCGTCACAAGGGAGCACATTAAACGAAGCTGTGAATGCTGCTTGCAGCCTCGCATTCAAAGGCACTCAGTGCCCGATCAAGGCACCTGGCATCAGGACAGAGGGTCTACTTAGCACCACACCCACTGCTCCTACTGCCAACCCCTAACCTCTAATGCACTTAACTTGAACAGAAGACAGAGAAAAGGTAGCATTTCTAACCTAGTAATATTCAGCTTAAACTATAGCCTTCAAAGCACACACTGTCATTCCCAATTGACAGACAAAAGACGAAGGTGTATTATTGGTCAAAAAATATTATGGACAAGGTTAAAAAAATGCAAAGATCAAAAGTCCAGACCACAAGGTGCAAGTTATTTTCCTCTCAGTTGTTTTGATTTTAGCAATGATGCCATGCTGTTGGCTGTAGGGCAACTGCATTCATTGTCTTGATAGTTGATCCGGTGGACCTGGGATTCTTCTTGTTTTAGAATTCTTTATTTTAAGTTTCTTGATTTTCTTGCCTTTCTCCCACATGAAGATAGAGGCAGAGATAGAAACATTCTCCCTGAATGTTCTGGAATTTTCTCTACTCTTCTGCCTCTGTTGCAATTACAGCTTTTTTGAAAAAAAATTTTATGGATTAACCAATCAGGGGGCTGTTTTAAGGCAGCTTTTCCTTAACTTGAAAGATTCTCGGTGCTGTTCAGTCTCACTGCTTCGAGAAGCAACATTGTACCACACCGCTTAACAGTATGCGGCTCTTGAACTTTTAAGTTGCAAAGCTCTCCTGTTATCTCAGTTAAAGAAGCCCAACATCCATTTCAGTTCATAGTTCCAAGAAAAGAAAATATATGGTCTCTTGCTTCACTGGCAGTACTGGTCATATAAACTGGCTACAACACAGAAGTAGTGATGAATTCTGCGCTCTCTGATCTGTAAGAGTATGAGAGAAATCTTAATGTAATATATCAACAAATGAAGGGTCAGGTATTACAGGATTTACTTCTGGAAATGATAAACAAGACCTGATAGAAACATGTTACCAAATTCACCCTGGGTGTGTCCCTGATGAGGAATCTTTGAATGGGGAAGAGGCACCTATCCTTTAACACAAATGAAGAATCGACATAATGCCAATCAAACTCTTGGAAAAGCTGTGAAATTCTCTGGATATGGACTGAAATGGGGAGAAATTTCTTCACTCAGGGGGTGATGAACCCATGAAGAAGGTTCCAAAGGCCATATCATTTAATATGTTTAAGAAATAAATTGATCCATTTTTAGGGGGTTAAAGGTGCTAAGGGATATGGGCTGAGATAGAGCATCAGAATGGTGGAACTGGCTTGATGGGCCAAATGGCCTGTTTCTCCTCTTATTTCCTATTTTCTATCTCACATTACAAAATTGCTCAAAGTGTTCAAATCTGATACATTGAATGAATTAGATGCCCTCTGCTGATCAATCTTGTTGCCAATGATGCTTCTTTGTGGCATCATGCCAACACTTTAAGATGGTGCTTCCGTCCTTTTTCTCATTTTCTCTTGTTGGCCGAGGCAGCCATCTTTGAGCCTTTTTCACTAACAGGCTTAGACCAAGCTTTAGCCTTCCAAAAAAACCACCCCTGGAGCTGTATTGTATATCCTTGCATGCAGGCTGGCCTATTTCAAAGGTTAGCCCTTGCTCTAATTGCAATATTTCCAAGGTATATTTCCAGAGCTCAAAACAGCTCAACTCTCAAAGTTTTATCGCCGTATGAATTGTGGGCAGAATCATATAGAGGCCCATGTGGACTATGTTGAGACATGTGGTAGAATCATGTAAGAAAGCCATTGAGGTCTATCTCAGTGATGGAAACAATTCAATACATTTTTTAACTGAGTTCTGATGTCAAGGCAGGATTCTCACTCGGTAAATATCCATATGAATGAACGATAATGTTGCTGAAAGTTAAGGAAATTCTGTTCCATTATCTCAGAGCAATGCCAGCTGCTGGGCAAAGACATACACTTGAACGTCTGGGTGGCAATTCCATCCTCATCGCCATCAAGGTTACAATAGCCCTTAATTCTGAAGTTTCATTTCAGGAAGCAACTGGGAATCTCTGCAGCATCTTCCAATTCTCCGTTTCATAAGTGAATCCAAAACATTACTGGTTCCTTTTCACAATAGCTTACTTCCTCATTAGCTTCAACCTTGGTGAGATAATCAACCATCACTCACTTCCCCCGGCGCAGAGGATTGTACTCACATTGCTTTCAAAATATCTTCTGTTTATCATGAACCAGCAACATTTGTGAACAGGAAAGCATTTGGAGGTCTGTACCAGATTTTCTGTATGTGTCTCATAGATACTGGAGAACTCACAGGTGCCTGCCTCTTTCAACCTATTCAGGGATAGAATCATGGAGTCATACAGCATGGAAACAGATCCTTTGGTCCAACTAGTCCATGCTGAACATAATCCCAAATTAAACTAGTCCTACCTGCCTGGTCCTGGCCCATATCCCTCCAAACCATTCCTATTCATGTACTTATCCAAATGTCATTTTCAGTGTTGTAATTGTACCCATCTCCACCACTTCCTCAGAAAGTTCATTCCACCTCTGTGTAAAAAAATTGCCCCTCATGTCTTTTTTAAATCTCTCTCCTCTCACCTTAAAAACGTGCCCCCTTGTCTTTAAATTCCCCACCCTAGGGAAAAGACAACTACCATTAACTCTATCTGTACCTCTCATTATTTTATAAACTTCTATCAAGTCAACTCTCAACCTCCAATGCTCCAGTGAAAAAAGTCCCAGCCCATCCAGCCTTTCTTTATAACTCATGACTGCTGGAAGACAAATGTTATCCCTTCCAAACCTCGCTCATGTCATATATTAACAAAGCATAGACAGACACAGGATTAAAGTATGTCCATACTGCTACCAGGGTCAAATTGGAATCGACCGTGGATCTCTTAAAGGTGAGCTTTCAATGCCCTCACTGCCCCAATGAGTCTTTGCAGTATAGCCTAGACATTGCTGTGCCCTCCACAGTTTGAGCCAAGAAAGGGGGTTTGTCCTGGATGCATTGAAATTGGAAGAGCAGGACCAATCCTCCAAAGATAAAGATGAGGCTGGTAATCAGCTGATTAACCAGGATGACCATCGACAAGAGGAGGACAGGGCAATGTTTCAGTGAGCCCGAGCAACCAGAGACAATAATATTGCCATCCACTTCCAGTATGATTGAACTGAACTCAGACTTCATTTCATAGTAGCAATAATACTAACTTATTGTTACACATGTATTTATGAAAATACAGCAAAATGGCATAATAAGCCAGAACAAAGACAGAAATTGCTGGGAAAGCTCAGCAGGTCTGGCACCACAGCCGGCACTATTTTAATCACATAAATCATAAAAAGAAATCAATCATACAGATCTTGGACAAATTTCATTTTTTATTCCATTCATGGTTTCTTGATTTCCTAAGTGGCTGTGAACGCACCTTACTCCACAGCCACCAAAGCTGCCCATGAGGCCACAACACCACGGAAGAAGCATGCTGAAGTACCCCTGCTGCTGCCGCTGACTGGACCCAGAATGTCACCTCAGCCAAAGCCACCTCATCGCTGCTGCTACTCCAGCCGCTGCCATAGCCAGGAGACTGTCCCAACTCTCCAACACTGGGGCCCATCTCATTTTCTGAGGACCGACCGACATGCAAATTAACCCCCGAGTGTCGAGAGGTCATTCATTCGAGGGATCATTCACTCTTGTCGCTGTTGTAGATGCTGCCAAAACATCAGAGAAAAAGAACGGACCTCAATTCATCGACACTGGAACAGTTACTCCAACTGTGACTGCCATGGCCACAAGGAATGGACCAGATCTGCCAGCCAACAGCTCCCCATAACCTCTCTCCACCAGCACAGCCACAGAAAGAAGAAAAGATGAATTTGATTCGAAAGTTAAATGAAGAAAATTAAAAGAGAAAGAAGGATGCGTTTGGCTATACGAGAGGTAGTGGAATACCTCCTGTCCTGCCATCATTTCACTGCTCGTTCAGTTACATTACTGAATCAGCTGATCCTTACTTAGTGTAAAGTACATGTCCAACTTGTTGATTTGTCATTTGTCAGTTTTGTCTTGCAGGTTAAATGTTACATTCTCCATTTTAAAGTGTCAATGATATCTTCAGTTGAACCAATGTTAAAGGAGCTATGCTAACTTGCCCTGTATCATCATTAAGGAAAAAGCAGCAGCAAAACAGCATACTTGCATCACATAGTGCTGAAGTTGCGGTGCTAAATCTTAAAGGATATGTACATGTAAAGGCATATATATCTTCTGTAGTCCAGTATCTCATATTAGCACCAGGTTGGCATGGATCAAAGAGACCCTGTTTTCTGGTTGGCCAAATTGATTGGAAAATTTGGGCAGTTGTCCCCTGGTGTCCTTTGATCATTTTTTCTTCTGTATCCCTTCAATGCTTTTGAGTGTGTAAAGACTGTTTCATTACCTTGATATGCTTCTGCATCCTTTAAGATAGTGTTTAATTTGTTAGAGGTTGTATTTTGTGCAGTATTTCTCTCCAGACCATTGTGCTATGAGGGACAGTGAACATGTGAGCTGCACATTGAACATCTCTCAGTCCTCAATGTCAATGCATCCACTTCATAAGCTGATACATAGGAAGAGTGTTACCCTTTAGAGACGTGTGAAATTATTATTGATTCTGTACTCTCGCCCATAAGGTTTGTCTAAGTGTCAAAGCTGGATGTGAACAAGGCTCTGGCACATTCCTTCAATATTGCTTTCAGCCTCAATGATGTGTCTTCACATTAATGTGGCTGCAATCCCCAAGTTCTTTAATGTTAAAGTTCAAGGATTCCTGGCATATGAGACTATCTGCAGTCACAGACTAGGTTGTCCATGAGAGATGAGCAATGCGTTGTCTTGCATCCTTGGGATTTATGAAGAGGCTCCTCATCTCACACATGGATGTGATTATAACAGGTCCTATAGTGAAAGTAATGCAATAACAGACATTGTAATAGAGAGAGTGATTACTTATTTACAATGATATTGCGCCTGTGAAGAGACCCTGTTTTGTGGTTGGCCAAATTGACTTGGAAAACTTAAGCAGTTGTCCCCTGGTGTCCTTTGGCCAAGTTGGCCCAGGTCTGTTCAGAATCTCCTGTCCAGATGCAGGCTCACCCTCCTTGGATTGAACTGCTGCAGGCTTAGAGATTAATACCCGCATGGTAAAGTGATAGAATGGGGATCCAAACAGATATCTGTCAGCCACTGAGCATTCTGCTGGCATGGGTCTCCAAACTGGCCACCACCCTTCCCATAGAGACAGGCAGATGCTCACAAACCAGAACCACCACAGCAGTGAGGTTATTGATAGGAGGAGAATGTTAGACATTGACACCATTTGTGCTCAGAGACAGTTTTTCTCATTGGCCTTTCTACAGCACCTTGGGTTCAGGAGAACTCAGCATCATCATAACTTTTTGAATGGTTCCTGAGCAGATAGCTACACTGTTGTGTTCAGAAAATACAGCAGAAACATCTTGCCTGCAAAAAGAACACATCCATCTCTCTTTCTCTCCATTCTGGCAAATTCAATGTTGGCATTCATTTCAAGAGGGCTAGAATACAAGAGCAGAGAATTTACTGCTCAGGCTGTACAAGCTCTGGCCAGACTCCATTTATATTATTGTGAGCGGGTGTCGGCCCTGTATCTGAGGAAGGATTGTAGAGGGTGCCAGAGGAAATTTACAAGAATGGTCCTGGAGATGAAGAGCTTGTCACACGAGGAGTGGTTGAGAACTCTGGGTCTGTGGTTGATGGAATTTAGAAGGACAAGGGGGTATCTGATTGAAACTTACAGAGTGCTGAGAGGCATGAATAGAGTTGACATGGAGAAAATGTTTCCATTAGTAAGAGAAAGACCAGGACCTGAGGGCATAGCCTCAGAGTGAAGGGATGACGCTTTAGAAGTGAGTTGAGGAGGAATATCTTCAGCCAGAGAATGGTGGACCTGTGGAACTCATTGTCACAGAGGGCTGTGGAGGCTAAGTCATTGACTATACTTAAGACAAAGATAGATAGATAGATTTGTTATTATTAAGGGATCAAGGGTTATGGAGAAAAAGTGGGAGAATGTGGTTGAGAAATATATCAGCCATGATTGAATGGTAGAGCAGACTCAATGGGCCAAATGGCCTAATTGTGCTCCCATATCTTATGGCCTTCTTTGAGTGCAGAAATGAAAAAAAATTCCCTGACAGCTAGCTTCTCTCTCTCTCTCTGCAAATCCCCTGTTGAAAAGAGACATCGGAGCATCTCAACCAGGGACTGAATGACTGACATATCCGCAACTTTGTGACCTCATCAAAGATTGGAAGGAATTTAAAGCATTCCAAAGGATTTAAAAGAAAAAGTCTCATTGATGCCCACATTCCAGACTACTGCCACGATTGTGTTTCTCTACCTTTTATTCCTCCCTGCCTGCACATAATAATTGGGCTTTGCCTTGTCTCTTTGTTTGTCTGTTTGCATGTGTTCAGGAATTTTAAGAAAAGGATTAGAGTAGAAGTTCAAAAGTAATAAGTTAGCAATTTGTGCCTCTTTTTTGTCATTAGTTAGAAACAATTTTCTTTGTAATTGAAAATCCTGGTGTGCATATTTTTTGAACATGAATTAGATAACTAGATAGAACTTGGCAATTCAGTGGTTTAAATAAATTTTCACATTTATGTTGACTCTGGGAATAGCAGGTTTCATTTCCAGAACCATACTGGATCGTGATAATGCAGATGACAAGAAGGGTTAGCAGCTGTGGTGGATGTGGTTGCAGAAGCCGTTGATGGACATGATGCATGTGATGTTGAAAGTTGCAGTCAATCAACCTTGGAAAGAAACAAGAACAGAAATTGCTGGAGAAACTCAGCAGGTCTGGCAGCATCAGTAGAAAGAAAACAGAGTTAATGTTTCGGATCCAGTGACCCTTCTTCAAAACTTCAGATGCTGCTAGGCTCGCTAAGTTCTGAAGCAATTTCTGATTTTGCTTCAGATTTTCAACATCCGCAGTTAAGAACAAAGAACATAGAACAGTACAGCACAGTACAGGCCCTTCGGTCCACGATGTTGTGCCAACCTATTATCCTACTCTAAGATCAAACTACCCTGCATACTCTACATACCCTACATTTTATTATCGTCCATGTGCCTATCCAAGAGCCACTTAAATGTCCCTAATGTATCTGACTCTACTACCACCGCTGGCAGTGCATTCCACGCACCCACCACTCTCTGTGTGAAGAACCTACCTCTGACATCTCCCCTTTACCTTCTCCAAACACCTTAAAATTATGCCCCCTCATAATAGTCATTTCCGCCCTGGGGAAAAGTCTCTGGCTATCCACTCTATCTATGCCTCGCATCATCTTGTAAACCTCTATCAAGTCACCTCTCATCCTTCTTCGCTCCAGTGAGAAAAGCCCTAGCTCACTCAAACTTTCCTCATAAGACCTGCCCTCTGGTCCAGGCAGCATCCTGGTAAATCTCCTCTGCACCCTCTCTAAAGTTTCCACATCCTTCCTGTAATGAGGCGACCAGAACTGAACACAATATTCCAAGTGTGGTCTAACCAGGGTTTTATAGAGCTGCAGCATAACCTCGCGACTCTTAAACTCAATTCCCCTGCCAATGAAAGCCAACACACCATACACCTCCTTAACAACCCTATCAACTTGGGTGGCAACTTTGAGGGATCTGTGGACATGTACTCCAAGGTTCCTCTGCTCCTCCACACTGACGAGAATCCTGCCGTTAACCCTGTATTCTGCGTTCAAATTCAACCTTCCAAAATGAATCACTTCACACTTTTTTGGGTAGAATTCCATCTGCCACTTCTTTGCCCAACTCTGCATCCTGTCAATGTCCCGTTGCAACCTACAACAGCCCTCCACGCTGTCATCACAACTCCACCAACCTTCGTATCTTCAGCAAACTTACTAACCCAACCTTCTACTTCCTCATCCAAGTCATGTATAAAGATCACAAACAGCAGAGGTCCCAGAACAGATCCCTGTGGAACACCACTGGTCACTGAGCTCCAGGCTGAATATTTTCCATTTACTACCACCCTCTGTCTTCTATTGGACAGCCAATTCTGTATCCAGACAGCCAGATTTCCCTGGATCCCATGCCTCCTTGCTTTCTGAATGAGCCTACCATGTGGAACCTTATCAAATGCCTTGTTAAAATCCATATACGCCACATCCAGTGCTCTACTTTTATCAATGTGTTTTGTCACATCCTCAAAGAATTCAGTAAGGCTTGTGAGGCATAACCTGCCCCTCACAAAGCCATGCTGACTATTTCTAATTAAACTGTGCTATTCCAAATAGTCATAAATACTATCTCTCAGAATCCCTCTTCAATAATTTACCCACCACTTAAGTAAGGCTGACTGGTCTTTAATTCCTAGGATTATCCCTATTCCCTTTCTTGAACATGGGAATAACATTTGCCACCCTCCAATCATCTGGTACTACTCCAGTGGACAGTGAGGACGCAAAGATCATCGCCAAAAGCGCAGCAATTCTCTTCCCTCGCTTCCTGTAGGAACCTTGGGTATATCCCGTCGCCCAGGGGACTTATCTATTGTCATGTTTTTCAAAATTTTAAAACATCCTCCTTCCTAACATTAACCTGTTCGAGCATATCCGCCTGTTT